TAAACGCATGTTCGCGCATAAATCTCTTTACGGTCGCATGTGCCCAGATGTGTGGTCGTTACTTATGACATGCCTTATGATTGAATGTGTTAAGAATTTTGAAGTAAGGTAAAATAAAATTGTTGATATACAGATTCTCCGATTTTAAATATAGAAAATGGAGACTACCATATGCAATGCAATAATATAAATGTACTAAAAGTCATAATCGTATCCAGTTTACAGTTCTAAAGATGACGTATACATAATATGTAAGCATGAATTTTACAAGAACTTTATAATACGACGTAAAATATATTGATGTCTGGGTATTTAAACGTAGTACTTACAAGTTTACTACGCCGTAGCTTTTTCGTAGCGCTACGATATATAAATGACAATTCGATGCCTTGTTTTGCGTATCTTAAAAAGAGTGATTATTCAGGACACGGCAAAAATGTCTATTTATTTTAAGTTTTTTATCAAGGGTGTTAATTTGTATGCATTACTTTAAGAATAGGTAAAAGCCAGTGTGTGAATGTGAAGGAAATATGATGTGAAATTAACCTGCGAAAAAAAATATGTACAAAGCATTTTTTGCATTTCAGATGAATTGCTTCACGGGCCTTTTAATGTAATGGAGGCATCTTAATTGTAGATAACTAGTAGTTACGTATAGATAGATGGACGGACAGAACGTTGACCGTCTTAATAAATTATTGCTTTGATACCTAATCATTATTACGTAATGCTGGCTGATGGGAAAGTTAACATATTTTAACTTTGAATACTCTAAAACTGTTCATATGACTCCTCTAACGGCCGCTTTCTATATTCAATCTCAATCCATAATTTGCTATCTAAGCTTGAATAATCAATCCAAATCCTATTTTTACTATATCAATAACCGATCGATGGATCGTTATTCCGATCTTTTGTTTCAATCCATCATTCGGAGGGCGTATGGCATTTTTAGATTGACATTTGTATGGTAGTGACAGTTGTGCGCTTTCAATATCCAATCCACAGGTTTGACAAATCGGTTTTTGCACGTGTTTGATCTATAGTAGCGATCCTCCAATTTTGACCGATTGTACTGTGTAATCGTGTAAAAATGGAAGTTATTTCTAAGTGATAGCGACTGTGAACTTGAACATTTGCTCAGTTATCGGACTGGGATAATAGCGACAGCGACCAAGAGCAGCTTGTGTCCTCAAGAACGTTTAGGCGTATAAACTTCATGGTAAGTTTAACTGACGCTGAATTTACATCCAAATTTAGGCTGAACAAAACATCAGTTGAATTTGTTTTAAATGAAATAATGCCGTTTATCAAAGTCAAATCAAAACGGTATTTTTATAATTTAGATTATATATCACGTCACGAATACGAACAAACATCAACAAAACATAAATTGACACTAACATTTCGCCGCTGCCGTCGCGCGCCGTCCCTTTATTTTTTTCCATCCTATATGGCCGTCCCGCTCGTTTAACAATAAAGGTTCCGTTCTGGACAATAGACGTTCCGTTCTGTTCCTCGAAACACGTTATTCTTGACGTACTTACGGTTTAAATACTTTATACCTGAAAGTTTGCAATTAATTTATATTTTTATCAAAACGACATGTATAAATAAAATAATCTTAGAAACATAACCATTTTATTCACTAATTCATGTAATGATCTTTTACTCCGATTGCGTGGAACTAAACGTCAGAGAGGGAGAAATTTACGACTGATCCGTTTTTTTTAAAGGGCGCTAGAGCCGAGTTAGACATATTGAAATACAGATTCGGCAGCGACCGATGGATCGAATAAAATCTGGATAGAAAACAATCTTAGATTCAGGATCAAATATAGAAAGCGGCCTTTAATAACCTTAGTCTGTAAAAACTCTTCTCTAATTTGATTTTTAATTCGGGACTTAATCACGTATAAAACATATTTTATTTACCTCGACGTTTCGTAGATATTGCAACGTCCATGGTCTCGAAGGGACTGAAGGGCGGGTGTCAGCATCTTCTAGCCGTGCGAGTTTGTCTAACTACCCGCACTTGATCTTCATTATTTATTTGTGCACTAGGGTTCTTACTAGACGGACACACAACACTCACGACATCCGGCGACTTGTCGGGCGATACTTGATGTCGCTTACATTTGCTGATGACTGGATCCCATGACGATGAAAGCTTAAAACCATCTTCTCGATTGAAATTACGGTGTTTTTAATTTCAATAGCTTCGCGTACGATTCTACTATAGTGATGACGTTCTGTAGAAAGGATCTTGGGATCATAAAGCTCAATCCAGTGGTTTGGTCCTGATTCCAGCAAATGCTCGGCTATTGCAGATTTATTGAGCTGACGGTTCTTAACAGCCGCGAGTTAAGAACCGCCAGCTCAATAAGTATGTTTTATACGTGATTAAGTCCCGAATTAAAAACCAAATAATGTGTAAAAATCGTGAAAGTGATAAAGATCGAATCGCGAAAAAAATAGAGTTGAATCTGGTTTAATCGTCCTTTTGTCGGTGAGGATTACACTTTACGTAACGATCAAAACAATTATTTTTAAATCTCACGTGTTCAAAATCAGTTGTTGCATAATTTCCTCGTTCCGTGTACCTCTGGGAGTTAAAGCCAATTAAGTAACGAAGGTTGAATTTGACCAAAGTAACCTAATTACCACGAGTAATATAACTTGTGTATGATATCGAAAGTGTTTAAAGTTATCGTTAGTCATTAGTGCAAATTTAATTGCTTATAATTGTGTTGTAGTTGGCGAATAAATAATGTATTTATCTGCTTGTCTCGTTCTCAACTACACTTATATTTTTATGTTAAGGACACAGTAGTGTTTTTTTAATCGACTTAAAAAAGGAGGAAGTTATATGTTCGGCTGTATGTATGCTTTATGAATGTTTTCAGATATCTCCGTCAATTGTGGACCGATTTTGAAAATTCTTTTTTTTTTTGTTTGAAAGGGTGCACCCTCGTGGTGGTCCTACTGTCGCCAAGTTAGAATCTAAAGAGGGGAAGGAAATCCACCAGGTTTATAGGCATGTCCATGTATTCGCCAATTTCTCCATCAATTGTGCACAGAATTTTGAAATTTTTTTTTAAAGGGTATACTCTCGAGTTGGTCCCTGATGCTTTCCGGGTTCGTTTCGGCTATCACAAATTACTAATTATTTTCCGTAAATAAAAGTAGGATTTTACTTGATACAATCAACAAATCACCGTCATCATGACAACCAGAACAGAAAATACAAAAGGAGTCCGTAATACTCCCATTGTCACCAAAAAGTCAGAATCTGATGAGAGGATCCCATGGAAATCTATAAAAGCCGATGCAAACTTTTGAAATCGGTTTTTTTTTTCAATGAAAAACCTACAATTATTCAATAAAGTTTTTTTAATGAAGTTGTCCTAATGTGATGAATGATCAATATTTAATCAGATCAGTAACTTCACGAGACAGCTAAGCTTAGTTGGCATAGCGTTAGTCACGGTTTGCAGGGAGAAGTTTCGTTGGTCCGCATTGAAGCGAGCTTTTACTAAGTACTAAGTAGTTCGATCATTGTTTAATAATGATTACAAACTAGTGGATTAATTTCACAAAAAATAATTGAATGCCATGGTGGTGAAACCACCGGTGGAGTGGAAAAAACATCCTGACACTCAATAAAACTTAATTACAATTGTCTTAAGACGTTAAATTTCATAGTTTGTAAATGAAAGAATTTGTAAATATAATATATCTTCTCCTTCGAACTAAATTTTTAGTATACTGTATAAAAAGGCACGCTGCTCAATTTAGTGGCATTTAAAAGGACCTCAAGAACTCAGGTTTTACTACGACAGCTACATTACTCTAAAGGTGTTTTTTTTTGTTGTCCTTTCTGTAACACAGTAAAGGTTTAATGTTGAAATACCGACGTGACTTTTTTTCTCATTGTTGCAACCAAATAATATTCGCAACTATACAAAATGTCGAGCCCGTTTAATTTTTGTTTTACTTCATTGAATGTATAAACAATTTATATTCAGTGATAAATACATAATTATATATTTGAAACAGAATCTAAGATCTTAATTTGGAATGTAAACTCAAGACATATATATATGATATTATTATGCAAAGCGTATACATGTTGACGTAAAAGTAGGGTTACTCTTGAAACTAGTGCGTTATTTACATAATTGATAAATAAAAAGGCCACGTCTACAAAACGTCAACTTTTCCAAAGATTGGTCGGAGGATTCTGCGAACTAAATTAGTCGATAACTTTTCTATGCTTAAATATGAGAGTTATAAAATTTCACATGTATACATAATTTCTTTCATGTTATTTGTATTACATTTATGACTTTCATGTTATGAAAACACTTTTGACGTATAATCACGTGTGGTTTTATTAAACCAAGCGTTCTAATTATTTTGAAGATTACGAGTTGAAGGATCTATTCCTTCAACTCGTCTCCTCATTATTATGGAGGCACGACATCTGATCCAAATTCAAATATGTCTTTATCAGAGATAAGCAAATTACTCTTGAAATAAAGTCACTCGTAAAGCACATTCCACTCAGAATAAGCAAGAAACAGAAAACTATACAAAGTTTATATTCTTCTCAGATGATGTTTTCTATAGATAATCTATAGATTACCGTCGAATACATCAAAGTGGCGAACAGGTTCTGATTCTGTTAGTAAAGTTTAGGGATGTTACGTAGGATGGCTAATTTACTTTCAGCCGTAATTTCGTAACGATTATTTCAATAGAAAGGTGGTCTGCGTGTAGCCAGATTTCAAACATATTACAATGTAGGGTGTTCATGTTTATGAATTAAATTTTTTTAAACAAATACTTGGAAAAGTCAAAAGTCAATAAAATTCACCTAATTGTAATAAAAACTGTAAGTCAAAAAGCTTTTGCACATGTAAGGCAACTAATGGCAAAATTTTGAATTAAAATTGTAAACCGACGCGTTGATCAGCAGCGTAGGACAACACGACGGACTATTCCAGTGCGATATCTTTTTCCGCCACTTTAAGGATATTACATTCTACCTGAAATCGAATTAGTCGCTTTACGGTTAGGCTTATTGTAATACATATAGCATATTTTATAGTTCAATTGCGATTTAAGGAAAATAATTTTAAACATATTACTTAACATATTAATATCTATAATACAAAAATAATTAATATAAAATTTATAAAGACGAAAAAAATTGAAAACTTGTATAATTTGTATAAAAAAAAATTTCGTGATAACGTAATTAGGCAAGTATGTAACACGGACTTAAAGTGACTGTCACGTAATTGGCCAAGATAACAGTATTCTGATAATTAAGTATTAATTTCAAGAAATATTCGTTGAAAATAATATTTATATCTTCAACAATGACTTAAAAACTTTCGTTCGGTTTCTTTTTCAACTATCAGTTTGTTTTATTACAGTATTATGTCTGTCCCAAACAAACATGAATATGACCGAATTAGGATATCAACCCTTTGTGTGTAAAGCCGATCAAAAATAATATTAAACACGATTAAACATATGAGCGATGTGAAAGAAGTGAACACGAGAGACGTGTGGATATTAACTTGTTGAATGCAACGGACAAGGTTTGTATCTAGTAAAGAATGCTCACGACACGATATTTACTTTCTATAAAACTACAATGGCCTAAACCCTCATTAAATGAGGTGATGATGATGACTTGTCAATTGCGGTATCGGCATTTTGTACAGGATGTGATATTTCAGTTGAGCGCAGGTGGCACTTAGTTTGCCATCCTTAGAGGTGGAATATTTTTTCAAATTTAAATGGAACCACTAGTAAGGTACCCTCTTTTCAACAAAAAAGAATCATCAAAATCGGTAACATACATATAAAAAAGAGAAAAAAAAGATACGGTCGAATTGAGAATCTCCTCCTTTTTTCAAATCGGTTAGAACATTATTATGATGAAATTACAGGTACGTGGGTGACGGGCTCAATGACAGTGCCTCTCAGATCTTTAGGCACTGCAACTGTCATGAAACCACAAGTTTATCCATGGACACTACTACTGACATAAAGTTCATTATTCTATGTTTTTGTGACATTAAGCGATGGGACGGACAAGTCGTGCACCTGGTGGTAAGCCACACGCTTATCCATGGATATCGTTGTGTAACGTATGTGTAAAATAGATACGAGCCATGTGTCTTATTTCTTTACCGTCCGTCCGTGAGTGATACGTGTTACGTAGTAATATTACCTAAAATGTGTAGTTTTATTAATATTGGTATTCTTGCTTATTTGAAGATGTTGGCATAGATGTTGTTATATTTTACAAATTTACACGTACGTAGGATGGAAGAGTAAAGTGTAAATAAAGCAACATCGTTAATAAATTGGCAGAGCGTGGCCACCGGAGCTGACGGGCCGTGTAACAACCCTCGTTGCGAGCGTCGGGTGGTGGGCGCACCTTGTTAGCTTGTGAATAACCGCTCAACTACAGCTTCATTCAATTTTATAGCCACTTAAAAGTAGTTAACGTAGAATATTTTACACTACCGTGTAGAGTAAGTGGTTGTGTGCACGTATAGGTAAATGTCTGCTTTTTTTAAATTGCCTCCGTGACCGAACGGTTACCGTGCCGGAATGCCACGCAGAGGTCCCAGGTTCGATTCCTGAGCCGGGAGAAATATTTGTATAGCCTACATTTATTTCTCTAGTGAGTTTGGGTGTAATTTGTGGTTGTCTATGTGTTTGTCCTTGGCACCTGCGACACAGGGTTTCGCTAGTGCTGGTGTGTGTGTGCGTTATGTGCGCGTTTATACATAAAGAAACAAGAGACTACCTACTACAGAGCTTTAAAGCTCTTCTACATTAACTAGACGAAATAGAGACGAAAATAAAATAGACGAAAAAGACACAACCGGCACTCCCTCTTTGTAAGGTTGTACTAATACCTGGGCAAAGACACAAAATTGCTTTAATCAAATTATGTACACCCACTGAATTTTCTGTTTTTCAGAAACCTCATTGTATACAAACACATGCAAAATTACAATATTCATTTCGTTGAAAAAGACAATTAAACATTATGTGGTTTATTTTATTTATAGTTAATATTTAGCGTATATCATTATTTAACCAGCATTGATTGTTTAATGTAATTTTAAAGAAGCTTAGAATTTTACCAAGTAATATTTTAATATGCGTAAAGATTAAGTTTCGTCCATTCCAAAGTGAATGACTGAAGGATGCTCGCGAAATTACAGGCACATAGGACTTATCAACTTATGTCTCAGGGTGACGGGCGTAGTGGCAGTGCCCCTCAGATCTTTGCGATTGCACTGCAACTGTTATGGACAGGCGTATCGCTTACCACCATTATCACGACTTGTTCGTCCTGTCACGCAGTATCATAAAAAACAATAAGTTTAGTTCAGTAACAATTTTTTACGTATCCTCAAAGACTACTAGAATTACTCTGGAAATTAATTCAATAATATATTCAGAAAAGATACGTAACAAAATAATAACACATTAGGGTAAAAGTTACAAGGTACCGTACCGCCTACAGATACAAAGGGCACTTGAAACTAAAACATCCAAAATAAATTATATACTATTTTCCCATTGACTCAGCACCGACTTTATAAAACATAATAGAAATTTCTGAACACATCAGGAGCACTGTGTGTACCGGTGCAGCGATCGTGTATCTGCAACGCTTTCAACGATGTAATTGAATACGAGCTCCTTGGTAAGTAGGTGTCTCCCTTATGTTATATATAAACTATATTCGTGTTGCTAAGGAATAGGATATTTTAAATTAATTTTATAATTACAAATATACGATCCACGGAATAACTTATTTTATGAATATAAATTCCTTATTTACGGTAAATATGTATATTTGGACACATTAAAGAAATTTTGTAAATGCATTTGAAGCACGGGTACGATATCTATTACGCACACAGAAATTTTCATTTCGCAATATTAAGTAAAGGTAGCTTGAAGTAATGACGTCATGTTCTATAATTGTGAAGCCGTGAATATCAATAACCCTTTGATAAACTTTGAATAAAATTGAAAAATAAAAGGCTTATTATTATTACATTATGATAAAAGGTGGGTTTGAAGAATTTTAAGATAACGTCTATAAAATTGTCTTCTGTCTTATTGTTTTCCAGTTATAACTGAAAGTCTGGCATAATTTACAATGATCTCAATTAAAGTAATGTATACAATGTAAATGCTGATGGTAAAATGAAATTGGAGAACTTAACCTACTCAGCCTCGAATAAGAGCATGCAAATATACAATAAGTACATTACGAGATTGAATCAACCAAAATAAGATATATCAGAATATAAAATTTTTGTTGATTTATCCTTGCAAATAAACCAGCTTCGGGTTTGTATGTACAGGGCAGGGGTAATATTTTGTTTTGAAATGGAGGGACATGTCCCTGTGTCATGTATATACCCACACAATACAATAAATACAGTAAAAGTGCTTAGTTTGCGTGACACGTGTGCTAACAGGGGCCTTACCATGAACTCTTATTACAGTTCAGTATAGATTCGTAATGACAAAAAAGCGGGATGGTGATATACTTCATGTAACGCTGTCTTACAACGACTCATTTTAGGTCCTAAACTGAATCGCAATAAGAGTTCATGGTCAGGCCCCAGTACGCGAAGTTCCACATACTTAAGCTCAGATCGCCATTTTCGCGTTGTACATTATGGTTGTCAATTATCTCGCCAAAAAAACCTCGAAAATTGTAGAAAAGTGCCTTATTTTGCTATTTTTTAGTGCAAAAATGATAGTCGCAGTAGTAATATTATCTATGGTGATATTTCGTATCATCGTTAAATCTTATTTTATTTACTTTTAACAAGTTTTCAATTTTCTGTTTACAGTAATAATTTTTTTGTTACAAGAAACTAAAGTTTTTTTTTTGAGAACTAAGTAAACATCTCAAATTTTTCACCGTTCATCATCGTTCCTCGATTGACCCCTAGATGGTAGTACATTGATTGAAATTTCACTACAAAATGAAAACTTGCAATTATAGGTATTGAACTTTCAACGATATAAACAGGGTAAAGTTTAAGTTATATTAACAATTCAGAATTTGTTGTTTCTTTTTGAATTAGAAACTACCACCATTATCAAGATTGCATGGTGTTTTTAATATTATGAATGTGCAAGTTTTGGTGACAGCGATTGTCATAGTAGTCGAAGCACAAAACACTTCCATTGTTTTCTTCCATGTATACACGGAAGAAAAAAACAAAAAGCTTTCCTAAAGTCAAATAATAATAACGCACATAGTCATAGCCTCGCACTAGGGAACCCTATATCGCGGAATTTCGGTTGCCATGGACACACACATAGACAACCTCATATTACACCCAAACTTACGAGAGAAAAAGAATGTAAGCCGTACAAATGTTTCTCCCAGTTCGTGAATCGAACCCGGGACCTCTGCGTGGCAGTCCGGCATGGTATGTTATATAAATGGTAAAATCAAAACATAAACATTAGATCACACTGATTACGGAAAAAACTAAGCTAGTTTGTAGTAACTCTTTGTGGCCGTGCTTTATAAGAAAACCTATCGGTCGCGGGGTCTTGAATCAATATGCAGTGCTCGCATGTCACCTGTCGCCCTCGCAACGAAACCTCATGACAATGAAATTATACTTCCGTCCTTCGTAATTACATTATACGAAACACCGTTCGTTTATATTCCTGATGAAGTTGCCTTATTAATTCTTGTCATTATATTCTAATACGTCTTGATAATTAACTTCGTGATGATATTCTCCAAGGTTAATTTTAATATTACTCAGGTGCAATCGGTTTGCCTTTGTAAGTGGCGTGTCACTTCATATTATATTTTAAAAAATGCTATATAAAATTCAATCACTTCAAAATATTTTTCAATATTTATACTCTAAAATGGCATCTGTCGGTTCAGAATAACTTATTAAGGATCTGTTCAACCGGGTGGCATTACCAAAATTTAAGGTGGGCTAGTTTGATGTTATAA